ACATTAGATTTGAGTAACTACAGTTATCTGTTGGTTTTTCATGACATTATGTCAGCCATCTTTTCACAGCAATGTCAAGTACTTCTCTTTATTCACCCAATGAGTTTTTTTTTTTTTTTGTACTACTCAATTCAATTCAGTTTATTAATCTAGCACCAATTCACAATGAAGGCTACCTTCGTTAAGGTACTATATTATAACTTTTTTTAGTTTACAAAGTCAAATTTAAATCAAGTCAAATTCATTCCTTGTTATAACAAATTATTATTTGTTAAGCCAACTACAAAAAGTAATCAATTTAAGGAAACATGGCCAGCTAGAGTATTTGACATTGAGCAAGCTTGTGAACTCAGCTCAGTATGAAAAGCCTTCTTCCATGACCACCAAGGGGGTCAAGAGGACTGAGCAGAAAGACAAAAATCACAGAAACACTTTTCTTTTTCTGTCAGAGTATTATTTGAGGTTCTGATGGTCTGTTTATTCCCAGAAGTCAGATTTACCAAGTTTTCAGTTGGAAATACAACAACAATTTCCCAACTTGTGCCTCTTTCGATGATGCTGACAAATATTGAAAGGGTCAGAACAGATGTGAGTATTTCTCCATATGCGGTTATTCATTTATCAAAGTAGCTCCAATGGCCTACAACAAAAACTCTATTCATTTTGAATGATTTTATTTTTATTTTTATTTTTTTTTTTTTGCATGACGCTACAACTGTTGACGACGACCCACCAAAGCAGCGCAGCAGAGGAGCTGGAAAGTAGTGATATTATGTGTTAATGTTTTATTCAGTAGATTTAGCTCTCCTTAATAGTACAGGTTTGACAAGGGTAGCTGCCTTGGAGCGGTGGACATCGATCAGATGCCGCTGGTGTGCATTGTTTCATAGTAGATAAATAATAGGGTTTATTTTTTTAATGTGCATCTAATACTGCCGATATGTGTTTACCTGTAGAGATCTCCAAGCAGGCTTCCAATCATGTATACGGTAGTCCAAGCATTATTTATTTATTATCACCTTGACAAGTTTGCATCTCATTACATCAGTAGAACACATAGTGCCGAACAACATCCATCTATTTGCACACATGTTCCCTTAGTGTCTGGGCACATAAAATGAAGAGAAATACTTTATCCACTCGTGTTGCTACTACTGCAGTAAACACCTCAATTTCCACTTGTATCAAACTAAAGCCAGTGATACTCACAGGGATGCACAACCTCTTATCTGTCTGAATGCTTATGGAGAAAATATTCCTTATGGAATTAACTGTATTGTTAATAGTCTGTTGCTCAGTGAGAACAACAAGTACCAAATCTTGCAGCTAACATGTCACGTTTTCTCTGCCGATATCAAACAGCTTTTGGAGGAGCAGCGTGATGACGTGGGGGAACATCTCCCTCGCTGGAAAAGTAAAATCTGTCGTCACTTGAAGCAATCTGAATGCTGAGAGATATCAAGATGAGATTCTGCAATCAGTTTAAATCGTTTTTGAACTTTTGTAGGATCAGCGTTTATGCACAGTTCCCTCCAAAGTGTCCAACACGACGACATTTGTTTACTTGCGACAAATGTTGGTTGAAGAATGAGAAGCTGTCCAACGGCAGCGTGTGACCAGGTGGAGCTGCCACCAGTTGTGACTGTGTTTGATTCTCCCATACACCACAGAGGACCCTGTTTGTTAAAGGAATAAATTGTTAAATTGCTGATATGTCTTGTTTCTCTAAGTGTCAATCACTGAATTTAGTAAAGTAAACAAGAATCAGTAGTGGTGTAAAGTTTGTGGCAGAGAGGTTTTGGCAACTTTTGAATGGGTACATATCATCTACTCAACTTTGATTTACCGTTTAAAGGAGAATAACCAGGGTTTTAATGATATTATTATTATTATTATTATTATTATTATTATTATTATTATTATTATTATTATTATTATTATTATTATTATTATTTTGACTTAATGGACTTATTACCAAGTGACATGTGACAACATTTTTTTTTGTTTAATTATAGATGTAATGTCATTTAGACGTCAAACTTATTCTTATAAAATAAGTTATAGAGAAATAGCTTTAATAAATGTGTTACCACATACAGTTCCTAAAGTTGGTATGCAATTCAAACAGACACACACATTTTTTTTTCATATTTTTTCTTTTTGTCTATGAACTTTTTTTCTTGCTCTGTTTGGCTCATCGCAGATTCTGCACATGGACCACCAGGTGTCATCAGAGTATCTTCATTTCTTCCCAAGCAGCTGCCAGGAAAGTTGCAGCTTCTTGCATTCTTTTTAAATGAGATTATGAATCTTCAACACAATATCAAATCATGCAATCACTGTTGCGTACGTAGGAGTCTATAACATTACTGTGTGACAAACATTACTCCCAACAAGCCAAAACACTATTTACATCTATGTCGCTCCTTACATGGGTTTTCATATTCTTGTACAGTTGCCTGTTCATGCACAAGCAACTGTACAACTGCACATTTTAGGACGCATGTCTTCTATTTTTTCAAAACTATTTTCTTTTTTTATTTTAGGTTTTGGATTAATTTGCATATTGTACAACTGAGCAGTTTTTTTTTAACTCTATTTCTATTGCTGTTTTATAATGTATATGTCTATGTGCTTTCTATAGCCTATTTATTTGCTGCAGCGCGAAGGAAGAAATGAAGGTCTATTGTATTGCGTTCTATTCTACTCCATAAAGAGTAACTGCACTGAAGTATTATGACAGCTGCCAGAAAAAAAAATACATGAACAGTTAAACAAATAAGGATAAGTACAACATGTCTTCCCATACTGAAGCAACAAAGCAGTGTGGACACATGAAAGAAGTCAGCTGGAATTTATGAAGCTCTGCTTTTGGTCAGATAGAGTAAGCCTACATGCTTGGGATGATAACAGCTTTCCACTGTAGCTCAGGGTGCTACAGGGGCTTCAGAGGAGTTCCCAGAGGCCAGCCCAGATAAGATGAAAAGTTGAGTCGTGCTATAGGTGGAATTATGAGCGGTCAGCCTGAAAAGGTGATAAAGTTTTATGTGGTTGAAAAAAATAGGAAGAAAGAGAGCTTGCTTGACTTTACAGAAATTAAAAAAATTAACTAAATAAATCTAAATTCTCCTTTTTGTTTTTTTTGTTGTTTTTTTTTTACAAAAGTTTAAGGGGTAGAGATTGAGTGTAAATATATCCTAAGTCTGTACAGACTTAGGCAGCGCTGCCGTTACTGTGTTCAAGTAGGAAACAACATGCTGTGTGTGGCTTTTATAATGGCTTATAAACGCTGACTGCCAAACCAAGATCTGCCTTCAGGACCGAGGGGTCTATATGGAGGTTATGAGATGTCATCCATGATAGCTGACAATGGTGCCAACATATTTTCTCCCTTGCCTCCCCGAGGGAGGCCTGAGTTTTCCTCAGAAGCTTTAGTTCAGACCGCTTGCTGCTAGTCATTGCATCCACAAAATAATTTTCATGCCCTGTCTGTTATTGGCCCTGTCACTTAGTCTGGCCTCGGTTTATTATCTAATGATCATGCAGAGTGTCAGTCCGTCCGCGGCACTCTTCCCTTGAGCCCCGCAGTTTCTTGTCACTAGTTTCGTGGTGGCCTTTTCCAGTCACATGTGAGAAGCTTCTTGCCAAAAAATAAAAAACGTCCGCCAGTGAGTTCAACAAGCAGCTAATTTGTCCCTGCAATGACAGACTAAATTGTCTCCGAGGTGGGCTGGTGTTTAATCTGTCAAGTCTCCTTTAAGTGCACAGATCTCAGTGGAGCGTTGACATGTTCCTCGTTATTCAAAAGAAAAACATTGTTGAAAAGTTTTCTTAATAATAGACGAGGTTTGATAGATTTTCTAAAAAAACTTTTATGGGCTTTTTTCTGCACTCTTGGATTGCTGCTGCATGTTAAACACTTTTAACGGCCTCTACAGAGCATTGTTAGGATGGTGTGCAGGTTCCTAGTATATAGCACTGAAGAATGTGGATTAATCATTCGCCACTGAATATTCCAGTCAAATTACGCAGGGAAAAGAGGCATTGTTATAATGCATGCCCATCTCATTAGATTAGAATCTCTCCAAAATGTCTAGTTATCTTATTAATTCAGCTCAACAGGTGATTCTAACTTGTAAATGCATCCATGCACTAAATGAATGACCGTATAGTTTGTTGTGCTTAGTTTGCTTATTCCTTTCTTCTAATCTTCCCTCTGTTCATTTGGTTTGTTTGATATATTTCAATTACTTATTGAGAACATTTAAAAATCAATTCCTCATAAACTGTGCGTTTTGCAAAGGGAGAGGGCTGCTTTGTGAGGCAGAAGCCTGGAAACTGCAGCTCCGAGGAGGAGCTGGGTCTCGAAGGAGGCGCTAGGTCCACAGGCATTTTGCACAGCTGAATGGCTGCCTGGGGAGATTGAAGGATTTATTAAACATGCATGACAGAATCAAGGCAACACTCCAGGTATATTTTTTTATGAGGGTATAACATTATAACATGATGTCAAGCTCAAAAAACATTGATTTTACACGATACTGCCCCTTTAATTCCTTGCCTGTAATTTTTTATTTGTTTTTAATTATTAAAGCCTTCAAATCACCATGTGGGCCCTCAAGCTTTTTTCTGCATTTTAGCAGTCGCAATATTAAGTGGAAGAAAAAAAGCTTCTACAAGGCAAAGGATGATGTGCTCTGAAATTTATCAATGTTAACCATTTGTTTTAGTTAATTTTCATGGTAAAGGCTCAAAGAAAATGAAACCCAAAGACAGGAAAATGTTTCCATGAAAATTTTAATATTAAACTTCAAAATCTTTCAATGGAAAAATGCTATGATGCGTTCTGTACAATCATGGAGAAAACTGCTGACTTTATACTTGTCCAGCATACAACCATCAACCCCCTACAAAAGGTAAAAAAAAAAAAATAAAAAAAAATAGCCTTTTCACAAAGTGCTGAATCTGAGCATAGTAATGGAAAGACTAGAGGAAGGAAAGAGTGTGGTACTGTAGAAAGTGGTGCAAAAACAGCAGGGAAAACTGCACACTTGTGAGAATTGTAAGGCAAAGCCAAATCAACAGTTTCTGAAAGAGTCACAAGGTTTCGGTCGTCAATGGAGTCAAAGAGTAACTACACAGAGACTTATCCAGGAGGAAGGGTTAAACTATCACATTTCTTGTGTTAACGATACTGAACCAGAGAAAATAGCAAACGCCTCTAACCAAGATCAAGCAGAGAAGTCTGGACTGTTGCTGGGTGGCCCGAACACTTTTCAGATGAAAATGATGTATAACTTTTGTTTAAAAACAAACAAAAAAAAAAAAAAAAACAAGGGCCAAATGTCTGGAGGAAGAAATACATGATAATCCAAGATGCTTGGAGTCCAATGTGAAACAAAATTACAAGAAAAATTTGGCTCACTTTATGATTCCCTCCAATGACAAGCTTTATATTAACAGATATTGAAGAAATTTATATTTCAGTAAATCAGTTTACAAAGAAAAACGCATTTTATGGATTCATTACACACAGATGTTTTTTTCAAACATTTATTTTTGTTCGTCATGAAGATTTCTACTTACAGTTAATGAAAAGATGACACTTAGGATTAGAAAGTTACATCAGACTGGCGATCTGTTCAAGGTGCACCCATTTTACCCCCAATGGCCGCTGGAATAAGGCTGCAGCCCCCCAGAAACCTTACAGGGATAAGCAGGTAGAGAATGGATGGATGGATATTACATCAGACCAAAGAAAAAAATATATTACAGAAATGTATGCATTTAATGGAAAGTATGCTTAATATCTGCTTATTTTTAAAGATACTTTTTTATGACAAATGTTCCTCTTTGAAACCCATGCTCCAAGTTAATGAATATTTTCCAACTGGACTTGGTTTCTGCCAGTACTGCTGAAAGAAGCATCACCTGGTTCAATGACAATCACGTCACTGTTCAAACTCAGCTGGCCTTATCCAATTAGAGATTTTATTTTTCATTTTTAAGACGACTGGAGGCAGTGGGCCCAATAACAATGACAAGATAAAACCTGCTATCAAAGCAGAGCCATAGTTCTGATCCTATGCATGCCATGCCGCAAACACACACTCTTGGATTGCTGCTGCATGTTAAACACTTGCAGCAGCAATCCAAAAACAGCCCCAACTAATTCATCCAAAAACAGCCCCAACTAAATTTTATGCATGGGCATGCTTTTCACTGGAATCACATTTCTATAATTGCAATCCTTTTTTTTTTTGTATTTCTCTTTTTTAATATCCCATGATTGAGTGTCATGTTGGGTTTAATGTTTCGAGCCCACATGCAGAAACACTCAGAGGACAAGTAAATGCAATTAGTTTATTTACAAGCGACTTGACAGAGCAACAGTAAGGATGACTGCGACCAGGAACTCCGAAGGGGCTGCACACAAAAAGGGAGATGGTGAGTTCAATGACGGTGGGAAACTATGAACACCTGGAAATATTGTTTAATGGCTTACTTGTTGTTGAAGGTTTTGGTACCAAGTTGTGGAGATTGTGATGAGACAGTCGGTAGGCCGAGGACGGAAGTGGCGTTGGAGGGCGAACAGGTAAGTCAGGGTGAGGGCACCGAGGAACAGCGAGGCGGACTTCCAGCCAGAGACTTGTTGGAGGTAAGTTCACAGAGGAGATGGTAGTGATACTCGGGCTTCCAATGAGTAAAACTCACGGCGTCTCGAAAAGAGTAATCCAGGGCTAGTGGACTCGAGGGAACTTTCCCAGAGGCACTTGAATTTGTCCTGAAAAAAAGAGTCGCAAAGGTCAAAACAATACAAAGGGAGCATGAAACGATTCTAAATTTTGACTCAGAGGGCTGGTGTACCACAAAAGGCAAACACTCTGGCAGAGAAGTACTGGAAGCCCGCTGCTCACGTACTCCTCCTGGTTGATGAAGATGATCCCAAACAGGTGCGTCCTGTTGAACCCCTCAGCACGCCCTCCTGACAAACCCGAACCGCTGGCGCCTTCTGCTGGACAGTAGGTGATGCTGAAAAGGAAAACAAACTAACCCCACAACCTGGTACCACCCAACACTGAGAAACAACATTTTGGATTTCCCACTAACTGTCAGCCATAATCAGCACGGTTTTCAGATTGAAATATATCACTGTACAGAGATAATTAATGTAAACGCTTCCATTTTTCAGCTGATTTACTAAAATGAGTTAACTTATCGATTTCTATTCTAATTTGTACAGATGTCCTTGTACCTGCATTTCCCGTGTTGCATAAGAACTAATGCAACAAAGGCCAGTCAGAGCCCTCCTGGTAGACGGTGGCAGAGCATTTTATTGGGATGCTGCAGCTGGACGCACATGACAAACTGCATTGTGCCATCTACATAGAGAATAAATCAGAAGAGCTACCCATCATCCACTGTGGCATGGCTCCAACTCCATTTGTGTATGTCTGACCTTGGAACACATAATTGTTAGTCATCATCATTTTCCCTCATTCACTTGGTACATGTGTGCATTAGTGCATGTGTGCATGCTGCCTATGTGTTTGTGCAGCACACTACTTTCTGCTCCCAGTTGGTGAAAGATTATGTTCAGTGTCATGGAAGACTCAGAGAGATACTAAATGAAGCTCATATCATGCATCGCCTCATATTCCTGCTACATGTTTTGACCAGGGATGAAGATTTATTGTAATACTGCAAGAGAAGCAAACATAAGCGGGACCAAAAATGGAATGGAATGCAAATAAGCAAATTAAAATTGGGCAATAAAAAACACTAAGCAGAGTGGCTGATATTTGACTGCAACGAGATAAAATCATATCTTATCATATTTAAACTCCGCTAAAACATCAGTGCTAATTTATGCAGAAATAGAGTTATAGTGATAGGCTTAGCGAGCGGTAAAGGCCCACACTGAGGAAGAAAACCTCTGAAGGCAGTGGAAACAGAAGCAAAAATGAATTGCATGCACACTGAATGCCGCCGTCATACTCTTTAGCATGGGCCACAGGCAGTGTCCCTGATGCGCCTGCTCTCATCCCATGTGAGCAAGAGCCAAGTGGAGAGTATGATGGATACAGCTCCACGAGGACACAGCAGTATGCAATGATACTTGACATGTTTCTGCCTCAGTGCTAACCCATCCAGATAAAAAGTGCCAGACAGGTAGTGTTTTTTTTTGTTTTTTTTGTATGTGTGTGTGTGTGTGTGTGTATGTAGGTGTGTGTGTGTAGGTGTGTCTTTCTTTATCATTTGCTGTATCACTGAACTAACAAAATATTTAGTATGCATCATGTGTCTCCAGTTCAGATCAGAAGCATTTAAATAATTAACACTGATTATGCCTGAAAGCCTATTCCATAACTGTTTGGTTTTCATTAGGGCCGACTGAAAAACATGCACACAGGGTGGACAATGACTCACACACTATGACTCAGTTTACCTTTTAGAATAAACACACACACACTGTTACGCTTTTTTTTTTTTTTTTGTAAGCAAAGCTTTTAATTATTGTAATCTCCCATTTAGCACATTCGGATTAATCCAAATAGTTAATTATCACATTGGTTATGCATTTGTTGAACTTTATAGCTGCAGTCTACTCCATATACATAAGCCCTTCTTGAAACTAATCAGTGATGATAATAACAATAACATAGGGATTTGATGCTGCTGAATTCTACTTATGTCACAGGAAGCACCAAAGGGCTATCTTTTGTTCTTCTGACTCAATTCATTTCAAATCAGTTTATTTAAAAAGTGACAATTCACAACAAATGTTGTCTCAAGGCAATTTACAAAAGGAGTCACGTCAATCGCACATTAAGTCACACATATACATTCCAATTAAACTTAGCTATCATCATATCCAATTGCATCATGCAAAGTACTGGATTGAGCATCAGACTGCAGTATGTTTGTATGGCATATACATTTTTGGAGAACACTATTTTATTGTATAAAAATTTACATTTTACTGCATTCTTACTTATGTTGTCTGTTTTCTGTATGTCATGTCGCTGTTGCCCAATAGCTTAACAAATCTGTGATCAATAAAATACGTTTCATCTTATTATTTTAGCAGATAATAAGTCTTTAGCCGCTCACATAAAGATTGTTGGAGACAGGCTTCAGTGGTCCGGCAACCTTGGAGAGATCAGTGGGTGGATGAATCGACAGTTTAAATCTGCATGCCAGGTTATTTAAACACTTGAAATTACCCTGAGGTGTGAGTGTTTGCATGCGTGATTCTTTGACCTTGGTTGTCGAGTGAACTGACTCTTTGTAGAAAGCAAGAAGTGCTGAATCTTCTGCTGACCTCTTTTATTTTTTAAAGACAACTAAGTGTAGTCCCTTTCTTTTAGCTATTTCCATATTTCAAGTAAGTTTCCCTTTAATAAAATTAACATTTGTAATGCATTGTGACTACATTTTACATTGTACCATAAATAATGTCTATTTGTTTGACTTACGATCAAAGTGCATTTCAGTTTGGACTGTCACTGTGTTGCAAATTTAATGTATTATTTTTACCCTAGGACGTAAGTAAGTAAAGTTTATTTATAAACCGCCTTTCAAGCGCAACATTAATCCTAGTGAAGTTCAGATGTGGCTCTAGAGGAATTTAGCTTGAAGGGTATTGCCTTCTTTTGGGGAGGCTCAGTATACAAAGATTTATGTCACCTTTCTAATAAAACACCTTTGTTGTCCATTAATGCAAAATAAACAATAGTGATGAAAACAGTGACATGTAGAAAATGCTGAGTCATTATGTTTTGAATTAGCTCATATGTTGGAGAAATCTAAGAAACTAATGTTTCCAATTTCTGTAGTCTAATCGTTTAAATACAAAATCAAGCAATGGTGTCTGAGAAATAAATTGTATGTTATAGCTAGCATATATTGCATATGCTAGCTATAACACAGACAAAAGTATTTTAAAGTGTGAATGAGAGTGGAAACCCTGCCCTGATACCTGCCTGTTTTTATTTTAAATCCTCCACAGAGTCAGCAAATTAAATCTGAAGAGAAAAACTTTCCCACAGTTTAGGAGCCACAGACTGAGAGGCTCTGTCCTCCTTAGTTTTTAGTTCAGTGTGTTGAGCAACCAGGAGACTCTGGGCTTGGGACCAAAGGCCATTTGCAGCAGAGTGTTTGGTAAAAAGCTGACACAAATAATCAGGAGTCTGGACATTCTGAGATCTGAAGGTGAGAACAACTACTTTAAGCCAAATTCAAAAATCCACTGGGAGCCGGAGCACATGGTATAAGACTGTGGTGAATATGAACGTATTTGCTAGATTTAGTAAGAAGGCATACTGCTGCTGCATTCTGAATGGCCTGCAGACATGAAACTGATGATCTGTCCAGATCCATAAAAATGACATTACAGTCGTCCAAATGTGATGACACAAAAGCATGAATAATTTTCTGCTCTGGAGACCAATGTCTCGCAATGTTTTTTTTTTTGTTTTTTTGTTTTTTAATAAAAGAAACAGGAATGAGAAACAGCTCTAATGCGAGAGTAAAAGCATAATGAGGAGTCAAATGTAATCCTAGATGTTCTTACACTGTATTTGATTACTGGGCAAAAAATAAGGAACTGTCTAATTGATTTTAGAATGCAGGTGAATAGATCCTAATATAAGAATCTCTGTCCTATTTGTGTTAAAAACCCGAAAATCGGTGCAGTTAGTAGCTGCTTTTCCATTAAGTAAGAAATTAAATTAAAATCACACATGATTAAGCTTGTTCACACAATACATAATTTAAAATCATGGCAGCAACGGATGTAAACAAATATATATTTATTAGATTAAATATAATCATGATTCAGCCATGACAGCGCTCATCATCTATCAGCCATTAGGGAAGACATTGGAGCAATAAGCCTGGGCAGTGGCTACGTATGCAGTGTTTTGGCAAAACTGTAATCGCCGATTATAGAGAAGAGCAACGGATTCAATATGTTGGAATCCATAGTTCAACTTTTAATGACCTGTGTGATGCTGATAGAGCTCTGGTGGAACCAGCTGCTCATTGTCCAAAAAAACCTAAAACAAACCATCATCCTCCTGCCACTTCCTTCGTCATCGTTTCCGGGTGTTGATCACATGACTCGTGTGATGCGAACAAATTATTTTCATTGCAGTTTTGCAGATTACACCTACTTTGATATGACTGCAGAACCACCTCATCCCAGCGAAGAAACTTAATATCGAAAAGTTTTTTTTTTTTTGTTTGTTTGTTTGTTTCCATTAGGTAAACTTCTTTTCATAATTTCAATTTGCACAATTTTATGGTTAATAGAAATGCAGCTAGTCACTGATCTGACATAAACACTGGATAACATGTTTACTCTAGCAGTAAATTAGTATTGAGTAATTAGTTCACCATTCTTTGGTGTGATTATTTGTTGTTTGCACACTTTTTCCTTTGTTTTCAATTAAATAACAATTTCACTTAAAGATTTAAAATATTTACTATGGAGCTGTTAAGTTTGGTGCCTACAAGCAACAACGTTGCCATGTATTAAAAGCAGAATCTAATTAATTGATCTAGTCGATTCAGATTAGTTATTGTTATTGTGATTAAATGTAATAATAATAATAGTAATAATAACTATTGTTTTATTATTATTATTCCTATTATATGAATATTAAAAGCAGAATAGTTAATATTCATAATATTCGTTCTACGTGTAATGTAGAAAGAAAGAAGTTACAACAGCACCTTATATCAGTTTACTTTGGATTAGTCCAGATCCACAAGCTACGGGAAGGAAGAGCCAGAGTGATGGTGGAAAAGATGTAATCGATTCATGTCTCTAAAAAGACAGACAGTGACACGGTTATCCTTTTTTTTTTCAGGCTGCATCGCTATCTCCCCCCTGCAGGCATTTCTTATTCCAGGTCTGGCAGATTATATGAAGAGCTGATGCAACTTGGCGTTGGCAGGGCGTTTTTTTTTCTTCTTCTTCTTTTGTTTTGGGTTTGTTTTCTGCATGAATAACCAAGACGCGTTGTTTCCGACGCAGGAAGCACGTCTCAGACTTTAAATCATTGATATCTTTGGCGGACTTCTTGCTGGTAGGTAGGTCAACATCTTTTTTGGGGGGTGGTGGGGGTGGGTTGAGGAATGAGTGACGGTGGAGGGTGAATTTAGATGGGGGTGCATCTCTGCATGATGCTCCACTGAGCTGATTTTTTTGTGCATGAAATGACTTGACATCCTCTCGACCACCGAGTGAGAGGCAGCGTGTTTGTGCGCGTCCAGAGAGAGGAAGAGAGAAAAAGAGAGACAGGGAAAGAGAGAGAGGGAGAGCAGCAACTTAGTTACCGAGCATCGCTGCCGTGTCTCCTCCGGCACAGCGAGCTGAAAGAGAAGCATTTGGCAGTTATGGTTGATCAGCGTTTCTTTCATCCTCTCCTGTGCATTAGTGACGACGGCTGCGTCTGCTTCCCTATTTCTGTTTCGCTTCGAAGGATTAAAAATAAAAAAGATGCGCTGAAGCACCCAGGAAAGACCCTACGTCTTCTTCAATGTGCGTGAGGTATGTATTTCCAGCTGGAGTTGGAGGGAAAATGATGCTGGGTGTCTGTATTGGATGTAAGACGCTAAATTTCTGTTAATCTGCCGTAATTAAGGTATATGGTTCAATTGAAAGCTTGTGTTTTTTGTTTATTTGCTTTTTCACGTTTCAGCAAGCAAATGCAATATGGCTTCTCTACACAGACATTTGTTTTGTTCTTAGTAGTTGCTCTGACCTCGCTTTGCTTTTTTTTTTCTTTCCTTTCCTTTGCACTGCTTAAACAAGTTCCTTTCAATTCAGAGTAAAGTTTCTTGATTGTAGGAGAAAATCTTGACTTGTGAGCTTTCTGATGTGAGAGTTGCTGTCAGATTCGCATTACGATGTGTTTTTGTTTTGTTTTGTTTTGTTTTTTATTCTAGATGACACTGAGGATACCTTAGCAGGACTACAAGTTTGGCCATTATTTGCAGGAAAATGCAGCTTTGGATTCCATATGTTTTGCTCGGTGCAACGTCAGTGTGCACCGTTGAAATGTCTGGCCATTATGGGGAAATCTGTCAAGAACTGTGCGCCTGTGAGGAAAGAGAAGGGATGCTTACAGTGAGCTGTGAAAGCCGAGGAATTGCAAGACTCTCTGACATAAGCCCAGTGCTCTTCTCCCAGTATCAACTGCTCCTTACTGGGAATCTTTTGACAAAGCTTTCTACCAATGATTTTGCTGAGTACAAAGGACTTACAATATTAAATCTTGGAAATAATGAAATATCAGAAGTTAAAGCTGGAGCTTTTAATGGACTGCAGGGATTAAAACGATTACATCTCAATAATAACAAAATCGATGCCTTGAAAGAAGAGTTTTTCCATGGCCTTGAAAGTCTGAAGTATTTACAGATTGATTATAATTACATCAGTCATGTGGAGCAAAATGCCTTCAGCAGACTTCGACATCTGGAGGTCTTGATTCTGAATGACAATTTAATATCTAGCCTGCCTGTAAACCTTTTTCAGTTTGTACCATTGACTCATTTAGACCTACGAGGGAATCAGCTCAAAGTGCTTCCCTACGTTGGTCTGCTGGAGCACATGAACAGTGTCGTGGAGTTACAGCTGGAGGAGAATCCGTGGAACTGCTCCTGTGAGTTGATTGCTCTGAAGACCTGGCTGGAAAGCATTTCGTACACAGCCTTGGTTGGGGACGTGGTTTGTGAGTTCCCATTTCGGCTTCATGGAAGAGACCTTGACGAGGTTTCGAAGCAAGAGCTGTGCCCAAGGAGAGCAATTGCTGAGTATGAGATGCCACCTCCCCCTCATCTGGGCATTGACGCATACTACAGGACCACTCCAGCTGTTGGCGCCTCCTTCACCGCATCTGGCATCGCAAGATCTTCATCGAGACCGACCAAGGGACCTCGTCAGTCAGCCAAATTAAAATCAAAACCCACCGCCCGTGTCCCGTCCAACAAGCCACAGAATTATGGTCAAATTGTGTCGTATCAGACCAAATCTCCAGTGCCTTTAGATTGCCCAACTGCCTGCACCTGCAATCTCCAGATTTCAGACCTTGGGCTGAATGTGAACTGCCAGGAGAGAAAGATTGAACAGATCTCTGATCTGAACCCTAAACCATACAACCCCAAAAAGATGTATCTTACAGGGAACTACATCTCTGTGGTGCATTGCTCAGATTTTATTGAGGCAACTGGATTAGATTTGCTTCATCTTGGTAACAATAGGATAGCTGGGGTAGATGATAGAGCTTTTGGCGATTTGACAAATCTGCGAAGACTGTACCTTAATGGGAATTTGATTGACCATCTTAGATCCAATATGTTTTATGGACTAGAGAGCCTGCAGTTCTTGTATTTAGAGTACAATGTCATTAAAGAAGTAACTGCGGACACTTTTCAACATGTCCCAAAACTTCAGCTTCTTTTTTTAAACAATAATCTCTTGAAAACTTTACCTGAGGGCACTTTTAATGGCTTGACATTAGCTAGACTAAATCTTCGTAACAACCACTTGCGGTATCTTCCTGTCAGGGGTGTACTTGATCAATTAACAGCCCTTGTTCAAGTCGATTTATACGAGAATCCCTGGGATTGCTCGTGCAATATACTAGATCTGAAGATGTGGCTGGAGCTGCTCAGCATGGGCACAGTTGTAAACAACGTCATCTGTGGCTCCCCCAAGAAGCTGGCTGGGGAAGATATGAGATACATTAAGACTACTAATGTCTGCCCTAATAACTCTGAGATACTTGCTTCTATGATTCCGCCCTCCGAGGAATCCTTCCCGGGGAGCACTATCACTATAGAAACATCTTTAGACTCCGACACTCAGCTCAACACTATTCCTTTATCTGTAATGATTCTTGCCCTTCTCCTCTTATTTATTGTGTCTGTGTTTGTGGCTGCGGGACTGTTTGTGGCTACAAAAAAGAGACGCCAGAAGAGTCAAAGTGAGCAGAATGAATCGATGAATGCTTGCATTAGCTCTCTCAACATGGAGTACGGCCTTTACAAAAAGGCATCCATTCCCAAAGTAAGAACATCAGCTGGGCATGTATACGAGTATATCCCACCTCCTACTGAAGCCACATGCAGAACTGGTGCACAAACCCCCATGGACAACAAAGCAGTGGATGGATTTAGAGACTTTGACGAGTTAAGCAGCGCCTTTCTGGGTAACCTCGATGAAGAGGCAGCCAGTAACGTGATAAGCTCGGAGTACAGCGCCACCACTCCAGAGCCTCTTAACAAGCCATCCACCCCTTACCGAGACGATCCGTGCTACTATAGAGACGTACTTGAACCTGACAAGAACAGACGCCACAGCAGCACGTTACCTTGCAGACACGGTGCGCACTCAGCAAATCAGTATACCTCAGACTTTGATGCAAGGCATCAATATGTGCAACCAGACAGAATACAACAGACAATATTGTATTGTACAACGCCGAGTTCCGTTTATGTGGAACCCAACAGGAGCGAGTACTGGGAACTGAAAGCAAAGCTTCACCTTGATCCAGATTACCTCGAGGTTCTGGAAAAACGAACTACATTCACACAGTTTTAAAACACCTGTCCTCGCGATGATCAGTGCGGACGCATTTGTGTGGTAAAGGGACAATTTTCTCAATTCAGCAAACTGCAGTGCAAGATATTAAATGCTTTTTTTTCTGGGAATTATGCTTTACAGAGTGAGTGATACAAGAGGGCAATTATTCATTTTGAAGCGCCACTTAACACTTCAGTCCAGTGTGGTTTGCATTTGAGTTTGAATGTGCAAATATCAACATAAAACTCAGATTCAGGGCTCTTATGACTCACCCTTTCACTGAATTCACCCTGAAGAGAATCACTGTCAATAATTTGAGCCTGAGCTTTAACTCTGAAATTGGCTGCATTTTATGAGTATTAATGAGCCATGAAGACGATACGTTCTTCACCTCTAAATAAGCTTATGCTATTTGACAGCGATACACATAAGGCAGCCAGTTCTGCCAATTTTCTTACTTTTTTGTATGAAACCCAAGCATTGAAGTTCAAGTTAAATTTTATTGATTTATACAAAAGTCTTCATCAAAATGTATCATTCAAGATTAATAACTGTAGAACAATTATATGAAATACATTAATATTCTTCATTTTTACCACAAACATAAATTATGGATGCAGTGAAAGTCTCCACTCCAGCAGATAGGTGGGAGAAATGTAATGATTATCTGTACCATGACAGTATTACACTAGCCTTGTTTGTATACTTAGACCCTTCTGGTGATAACCTTTCATTTCCCAACCAGCAGAAGTTTTAGGTTAAGTTAATACTTGTTGCACTTGTGATTAGTAACCAAAAATTTGTATCAGTTCGGATGTCTTTATTTCTGTTCTCCGCACTGCAAATTTGTACAAATGCAGTTTCTGCAACTTTACTACACATAAATGTACATCCATTTTAAAATTTCCTTAAATCAACACCAAAGCAATCTAAAAAACAAAAAAAAAGCATAAAAACATAAATATGCAACGAAAACCCTGTTAAATGTTTGATTTATACTACCTGTATTCCTTGTGCATCTGTGCAGCTGTATTTCCATAACACCACATTTAATGCTTAGTGCAAAATAAAAGTCCAATCTGCTCGGTGTGAACTAAGCGTGAGCTATAGCTGCTGACCCACAACAAGACCCCTTGTCAGTGTCAGGTTTGGCATAATTTAGATGATGAAATTATATACATTAGCTCAACCTCATCAAAGAAAGGACACCAGTGTTTACTGTAATTACCATTATGGAAAAAGTGGGTGAGTAAATTAATTTGAGTAAATTTTCCTGACCAACAGTTGAGTCTTGTTTCAGGCTTAGAAAGGGCTGCAAATAGATTTATTTACACACCAGGCTGGAATGTGTATAGGAAAAAGAAAATGAGAATTTTAAAATAATAATTCTGCAAGAGACTGAAATAGAAATATTCACCTGAGCCTGACTCCCCAGCAAACTAGAACTCAAGTATAGTATTTTCTTTGTTTGCTTTAGTTGGTAGCATTTAACTGCCAGAGCTGGGAAATAAATTCAGCAGTAGCTCATTGTGACGTGAAACTTTCACGTCATAGCGAGATGTAAAACTTGTTAAAATGCGAAAATGTTCTCATTTTAACGATATACTGCTTCTGAATTTATTTCCAAGTTCTGGCAGTTAAAAGCTTCTGTAAGTTTGTCCTCAGTGTTTATTGTTCAGGACCTGCAGTGTACATACAAGCAGAGGGACATCTTTTAATAAAGACCTCACTTGTTAACTTACAAAAGGATGAAGCAAAACTCGAAAAAATTCAAGAGGTTGTCTAATGTGCTGAAATGAAGTTATAAAGTGGTGTATTTCAAATCAAAGTGATTAATTTTGCATGTTAATGCTGAGAATTATGAAATTTTACCTGGTTCTGAGACATAAAAAAAAAAAGATCAAGTAAGTAATCAAGTCGGTATTTTTCATTTCTATAAAAGTCATCTCAATTGTTGATTTTACTGTTGCTTGCAAATACTTTCGAGTTTGAGATGTCCGGGAACAGCAGCAGTGTGCATAATGCCAGTTTTCAACCCATGGCACTGGGTTGAAAACTGGTTGAAACACATTTGCATTTGCACGTTCATGTATAGAACTGCACAGTGACCCAGTTGTCCATGGTGTTGCCTTGCAGCAAGAAATTTCTGGGTTTAAATCTCGGTCAGGACCTTACTGTGTGCTGTTTGCATCTTCTCCCTGTGCAGGTGAAGATATTCTCTTCCAAACACCAAAAATATTTGAATGGAATGAATTGGACAGCTTAAATTGCCCATCAACATGCGTGTGTGTTCATTGTCATTTGGCCTGGTTGCAACCTGCCTCCTGAAAACCTGACACTGGTTTAACTGGTATGTTGTTCGGAGTTGGGTCTATTTCATGCTTTGTCTTAATATTCCTTTTATTTAGAGAAAATTTATTGGCCTCAGGCATGTGTGAGCATCTGTTAAACAACTATTTTTATATTAGAAAAAAAACAAACAAACTCCTTTATATATATATATATATATATATATATATATATATATATATATATATATATATATATATATATATATATATATATTTTATTTCCTTTTCTTTATTAATAGAAGTTGAGAAAATGCACTATTGACTCTACTGATCAATGATGATGTCACTTTTGTAAATTCACAACACAGAAACATGCATACAGCCACTGATTTGGTCTGGTAAATGCAGACAGAAGGGTTACATTATGTTACAAATTATTTACTATGCATAGATATAGATGACACTCGGACAATCTGTTCATTTCTCAGTTGTCACCGAACCTTTATGATGATGATGATGCCATCTTTTCAAAGGTGGCACCTTTACTTCAGTCATTTGCGTCTTTATGGTGAGGGATATTATACCCCACGTAAGAGCTGTTTGGTAGAAAATCATAATAAATGACTGGTTAATCGGATAAAGTTATTTCTATGCATAAGACTTGCTTCAAAGGAAACTAAGCACATCATCCAGTCTTAATCTAGTCTAATCAGGTCCTGGGGTAATAGAGTAAGCCAAGAAATATGACTTTCCCTGAGAGTTAAATACGCAGTTATTTCTCAAATGCACTGAACTTGTCACCATAGCTCAGCCAATCAGAAGACATGCTGTTTTTACACTGTGTCTGCATGACAGCGAGTTTTATATTGCAGCATGATGCTAAGCAAAGAGGATGTCTTGATTTGTTGCCTTTCTTGTATCAACTTTGTCATGGATTTACTTGTTTTCTGATTAGAGCAAGTGTGCTAAACTATTCACAGCTGATGCATGATATGAACCTGCACAGCTATATTTTTATGTTTTTTTTTTCTTTGTTAGTATTCTGCTATAAAATGACAGTGGTGAAAACAGTACAAAATACAATGTTTATTTGATTGTATCAGGTCTGAAGTTTGTTCAGTTTGTGGTGTGCTATAACTTTTTTAGTTCAAAGCAGCAAAAAAAATTTAAAAAAATGGGTTCAGGTAGTGTTGAGAGAAAGTATATTAGGGATGTCCTGAGCTGATCCCAGATCTACTTGTTGCAAACTCGGTTTGGAGGTTTATAGCCTGAAAAATAGCACAGCGCTTTATTGACCTGAAAAATCTTGGTTTTCAAGTAGCCATCTTCCCTTGCCAGGTATTGGAGTGTATTGCAAAACCTATGTAATTCAGGCAAAAATCTGACAAAATTAAGCAGACTTTTATATAGATATATATAGCATCCAATCCTTACACAACCTGAAAATGTGTGTTCCTTTTGATCCAGTCTAATGTTGAGTGTGTATTAGGATTAAAGATGTGGGATTCACAATGTCCAGCTGCATCAGGACAAGGTACATTAGTTTTAATTCGATATGTGTGTTGTGTATAGATGGCATGTGAGAGGCATCTCTGTCCCCACTGTGTCTCTTATTAAAATTACATTTCTTTCTCTATCTCTCTGGACATCATGTAACATCACCAATACTAGTTGACATGAAAGAAAAATTTAAACTTGCCGATAGGATAAAATTCCTGAAAATCTTCGTTTTTCTGAGATATGTGGTGAATGCTAGTTTGCAACTTAATGTTGCATAATGTCAACATTTGACAATTTAAACTTTGCATAGCCTGGTCGATTTTCTCCAAACGTGCAGATGGAAACATGCCTATTTCGCATTCTCTTTCTTTCATTCATGTTTTTTTTTTTTTACTTTTTTGTGACATCTCAAAGGTTTGCTCAAAATTCGCATGACAGTTTGTTGTAAACATAGCTTGTGTCATGTGACCTCGTCTGTGCAGTGCTCAAATGTAATTATCTGACTGGTGAACAGCAGCTGAAACAGTTGTCATTCAATCTGAGACATTCAAAGCAAAGTTATTAGTTTCTGAAGCAGGATAATTACTTTCTCTGACAGCTACCTGTGCCCACTGTTGGGTAGAATTACTATGAAACATATATTTTTAGCCAAATCACATATTAAAGCAGAGTACACATGCTAATATTAGCCTGGTACTTTTGTAAACTTCTCAGCATTAAATTTTATTTAGCAAGAAAAAGATGAGTTTTTTTTTTTTTGTTTTTAAGAATGTGCAGTTGAATGTGCAGAGCCAAATATATCATTAGAAGCAAAAAATAAAAATTAAATGATGCTTTATGAATGACAGAAAGTTCGGACATCCCTAATCTGGGTTAATATTATTTTTTTACAATGCAAAAGTGTAATAAAATGTGTTTACTGTACATACCAGAAATTTGTAAAGTTTTTTTTTTTTTTTTTAATTCACTATGTGGTTATTACTGACATTATGCAATTGTTTTTTGGTCCCTATTAAGACTATAAATACTACTAATCTAAACATGCTAGAATTAAATGTGACTGTTGTGTGAATATTTGCAAATGTTTAAATTACGAAGAGGAAACCGGGTCAGTCTCTGATTCTCATTCCAACTTCTCTTGTTTGCCTGTGTTTGCTTTGTTCGATTTTCATATGAAACAGTGAATTTTCTGTGTCAGCCTCTGTAAATAGAACACATCATCAGCATTTTCATTGCAAACTTGTTTTGTCTTTGAAGGCAAAAAAAAAAAAAAAAAAACCTCATGTCTCTTTATTTGGAAAAACAAAGTGCAACTAGGAATTTGTGGGATTAAAATATCTACAGTGTGCCATTTTATTTAGTAGTTAGCTAATGAATAAAAGATATGCATTCATTTGAGTTGCTGTTGTCTTCCTTAGCTCTGCAAACCACGTTGTGTGTCACACTGCATGGGAAGGACAGAATTTAATCGTTCGACAAGCCCTCCGGCGATTTTATGAACATTTCAGAGCTGAAATCCTATTAAAATATTCAAGACATTCTTTTCTTTTCCATAGTTAAACAAAAAAGAAATAATGAAACACGCTACGATGCATATTATTACTGAGATTGACTGAGAGCTTGAATAATCAATGACGTTCACAAAGTTCAGAAACTCATTTTAGGAAAGGCTATTTTCAAAACTGGGTTTTATTTAATAAAGCCTCTGTGGGAAAACAAGACAGAAAATTCTTGATGTAATGTACTCTGTGCTGTAATATTAAAACAGTTGACCTCGTTGTAGTCGTGCAGTATGAAGACATTTGTGTGCTTACAGACACTTAAGGAAAACAACATTTGTTTTGGGATGTTTTTTTTGTTTTGTTTTGTTTTCTGCAGAAAAAGCTTTCTGGAAGCTGAGTATCCATGGTAACATCCAATTACCTGACACATAAGCAGACAAAATCGTGTGCATGAGGTACAATTGCCACACAGAGTTTGTAAATATCTGATACACAGATTTATGTTATGTGTATATTTTTACTGTATTTCAGTATCTATTGTCTGTGGTTTATCTCTCCTCATCTTCCCTTCAATTCTGACTAACACTGCTGAAGAACAGCATGAAAACAGTATGATGCTGCCACCAATGTTTTTCAATGTGGCAGGGTGCAGTGCAGTGTTAGTTCTTCATCAGATGTAATCGTTTGCAGCTTTGCTCTCATCTGACAAGAGCAACCTTCTTGCAGCTCTCGTAGAGATCCACTTGGTCTACTGGATGCTTCTCTGATTAACGCTCTTCGCGGTACAGTCGGATCACCGTTGTGCCACATGATAGATTGGACAGCACCGTGTGAGAGGCTCAAAGATTACCATATTGTTTTCTTACCTAACCCTGGTTCAAATTTCTCGGCTTTATCGTGGACTTGTTAGGCAATTGATTCCACTGCATTTTATTTTAGTGCATCAGAAGGTAGGCAGTGAAGACAAACTCGAACCACATTTTCAGACTTTTATTTTGAAAAGTATCTAGAATTTTACCCATCACAATCTTGTCCTACTTTGTGATTGGAGTGAGTATTAATGCAAGGCCCCCGTATACTCATTCACTTTTTTGTTTTCCAGGTTGATAGTGTAATGTCGCTTTGATGCTTGAAGACCCCAGCTTTGCCAGGGAGAGGGAAAATTAGGCCAGATCAACATTATGTAAGCTTGAAGAGATGTGTCAGGCAGTGTGAAGACGGCATATGACTGCAAGCGCTAACCAAAGGACAAACACTAGCTTCTATTTTCCGGGCAACACGTTAGAAACACAGATGATTCAAACCTCCTTGACATTTCTGTCGTTGCGAAGAGTAGAGAGAAATCTTATCTGTAACAATCCGCGTGTGGTTTGCAGTTGTTAGTCTCAGACTCCGCGTCTGTCCCTGAAGATTTCTGAGTCTTCTGTTTCCCTGAGCTGTGTGTGCTGTGTTTCTCTCCCTCTCACTTTTATCTGTGTGTGTTTAAAAGTGTGTCTGAGTGCATAAATTATTGACTCAGTGTGTATTCATGCTTGCCTCAAGGACTTTGCCAAACAACATGGCAATACCTTCATCCTATCTATTCGTCTTTCGACATTTTCTGATTTTAAAAGCCCTCCTCAAACTTGAATGCCTTCAGTAATAATTAATGCGTTGCATTTCAGACATAAACTACCATTTATCTATGTCCAGTTTTCTTGTTAAATCATGTATGATGCCGTGACGTCCACTGGATTAGGACGATTCTGGGAACAAATCACACGTTTCTGGGCTGCGTCTTCAGGGATTCAGATTTGCAAAATTTTGTCAAGAGCATTGGCAACCACTGAAAACAGTATGTTCGAGGCACACTAATATTTATGAAGGCTGATCCAAGCTTATGTCTGCCAACCTGAGAAAAGTGACAAAATCCCCCCATCGTCCTCCCATTTATAGTACTCACGCTGAACACAAGAGTGATATTTCACATCAAGAAGAAAGGAGAAAAGCTTAAGCAACAGGCACACTAAGATGCCATATTGTGAAGACAGTGAATTGATGTTTATAAGAAGCTTTCCTTGCTCTGAGTAAGAATATCTGCTGGCTGTGCGCATAATAACGTCTGAGACTTGTTGCTGTTACCAGGATAAATGAATCCCTTTTATCCCAAACATTTGCCAGACATGAAAACATGC